TATCTAACTCACTAACTCTCACAAATATTAAATTTAGGACACAAACGAACATGTTATGGTACTTTTCATAACTGTGGATAATCTATGGGTCTCGTGAATATTCTAAACCTCCTTGTTTATCAAAATTTTTAAATTTCAAAATTAAGCAGTAGTTTATGTACTTGGCCCTTGTGTAGCATTCTGGGATATTGAAGAAGGATGTTTCTTAGTGGCTATCTTGTCCATGGAGTGTTTAATTAAAAATACATTTATAATTAAAAAACTTCCTAGGAAAAAACCCTCCAGGTCCAGCTGACTTCACTGGTGAATTCTACCATACTTTAAGGGAGAAATACTGATTCCTACTCAAACTCTTTCAGAAATTAGATGAAGGAGGAATATTTCCCAACTAATTTTATGAAACCAGAATTGCCCCAATACCAAAATCAAAACTATTACAAAAAGAAAACTAGGCCAATATCCATTATGATGATAGACTGAAAAATCCTTAACAAAATGTTAGCAAATAAAATATACGAAAAAGATAATAGATTGTAACCTGGGGTTGGGTTTATCACAGGAACGCAAAGTTGGTTCAACATTAGAAAATCCATCAATAGAGTTCATCATATTTACACACGACAGAAGGAAAACTGTATGATCTTCTCAATAGATATAGAAAAAGCATTTGACAAAAGTTAATCATAATATAAATTCTCAACAAATTAGAAATAGAAGGGAGTTTCCTCAATCTGGTAAAGGGCATCTATGACAAACCTAAGCTAACATCACACTTCGTTGTAAAAGACTAAACACACTTTTTTTCTAAGATTTAGTATAAGATGAGGATGTCTGCTCTCACTACTTCTATTCACAATTGTAGTAGAAGTCCTGGCAGGTTCGATGAGACGAGAAAAAGAGATAAAAGATGTATAGATTTGAAAGTAAATGATGAAGCAGTCTTTATTCATAAACAATATGGTCATGTGTGTGAAAGCCCAAAGGAGACTATTAAAAAAAAGTCACTAGAGGGGCTGGCCCCGTGGCCGAGTGGTTAAGTTCGCGCGCTCCGCTGCAGGCAGCCCAGTGTTTCGTTGGTTCGAATCCTGGGCGCGGACATGGCACTGCTCATCAGACCACGCTGAGGCAGCGTCCCACATGCCACAACTAGAAGGACCCACAACGAAGAATATACAACTATGTACCGGGGGGCTCTGAGGAGAAAAAGGAAAAAAATAAAATCTTAAAAAAAAAAAAGTCACTAGAACTAATAAGCAAGGTCTCAGGACACAAGATCACTATACAAAAATTAATTGCTGAGAAATTCAAGAAGAGTTAAATACATAGAGAGAGATATACCACATATACCATGTTCATGAATTGGAAGACTCAATATTATTAAGATGTTCATTGTCTCCAAATTGGTCTATGGATTTAGTATAATGCTTAGCAGCCTTCTTCCTTTTTTTTTTCGGTAGAAACTGATAAGCTGATTCTAGAATTTATAAGACTGTACAAAGGACCTACAATGGCTAAAACAATTTTGAAAAAGAAGAACAAATTGGAGAACTTACACAACCTGATTTCAAGACTTACTATAAAGCTACAATAATCAAGAAAGTATACTATTGGCATAAGGATAAATATATAGATAAATGGAACACAACAGAGAATCCAGAAGTGGACTCACACTTTTATAGTCAAGTGATTTTTTTCAGTGGTGTCGAGATTATTCAGTGGGAGAAAGGATGGCGTTTTCAACGAATGACCTGGAAAAATTGGATATCCATATGAAGAACATATGACCCTTACCTCACAGTCATACAGAAAAATTAACTCAAGATGGATCACTAACTTAAATGCAAAAATGAAAACTAATTGAACTTCTAGAGAAAAACAGGAGAAAATCTTTGTAACCTTGGGGATAGGCAAAGATTTCTTAGGACACAAAACCCACTAACTGTAAAAAGAAAATTATAAATTACACTTCATCAAAATTAATATCTTCTGTTTTTTGAAGGACACCATTATGAAAAAAGAAGATAAGCCACAGTTGGAAGAAAGTGTTTACATGGCATATATCTGATAAAAGATATGTATCTCAAATAGATAAAGAATTCATTTAACATAATAACAGGATGATATACAGCCCAGTAAAAAGTCAGCAAAAGATTTGAACAGATGCTTCACAAAAGAAGGTTTAAAAATAGCCCATAGGCACACGAAAAGATGTTCAGTATCCATTAGTCGCCAGGGAAATGTAAATTAAAACCACAAGGAAATATCATTAATATCCATCAGAATGGCTAAAATAAAAAAAGAGACAATGCTAACAAGTTGTGGAACAACTAGAACTCACTTACCTGGCTCGTGAAAGCATAAAATGGTATAACCGCTTGAAAATGTCTTACAACTCTGTAATTCTACTCCTAGATATTTACTCAAGACTTATGACAACATACGACCATGCAAACACTTGTGCAAGAGTGTTCTGAGCAGCCTTTTGTTTTCATAGCAACTTTTTCAAAATAGCCAAAAGCTGGAAACAACCTAAATGTCCTTCAGTAGGTGAATGGGTAAACAAAATGTGGGATATCCATACACAGGACACTACTCCGTAATACAAAGAAAGGAACTATTGCTAGCTGCAACAAAATGGATGACTCTCACAGTCAAGTAGGATTCCATTTCTGTGAGGTTCTAGAATACAGGAAAAATGAAGCTCCCATGATAGCAGATGCGTTTACCTGAAGTTTGGTGGGTGTGAGAGAACTGACCACAGAAGGGCTCAAGGGAACTTTTTGGTGTGATGGTTACATGGCTGTATTACACATTTGTCCATGTCCTCAAACCGTGCACTCAAAATGAGGGTGTTAATCACAGGAACAGCAGACCTAAATGAAGTTGATTTTTTTAAAGAAATGAAGCAGTTGCTGATCCAGCACAAGAAGCTAAGCCTCCTCATTTCTGGCACAGTATTTCTTCCTTTTTCTTTCTTTTGCTTTTTCCTTCCACACCGTCTCTCCACAAGATAACGTTGGCTCCTTTCTTCTCCACACTTCCCTCTCCCGTGAAATCCAGTGATGGAATGTGGGAAGCAGGGCAACAGTGAGTGATGGCTCTGAGACTCCAGCCTGGGTGACCAGGAGGATGGTTTGGGAGGAAGATGAACAGTGTGGCTTTAGACACAGAGCCTGAGCTCAGGGCTTTGGGATTCCAGGTTGGGTTTGTTTAGTCTTGTTGAGACAGGATGAACTCACCCCAGGACAAAGGTACAGTTGGCCTTGGAGCAGGAGGAAGCTGAGCTGGGAAAGAATCAATTCCTTATGTGCCTGGTGTCGTGCTGTCAGATTAGTTTGGATCATCTCATTTAGTAGGTGACTTCCCAAGGAGACATCATGTGCTGGGTGTGCAGGAGCCCCAGCAGTACCGCCGAGAGCCTGCGGTCTCTGCTTCTTCTGAAAGAGCGTTTTCAAGAGGGAAAGGAGTGGCCTACAAGGGGTTCAGGGAGTGGGAGAGAGGGAGGAGAAGCACAGCAGACTGTAGAACATTCTTTCAGGAAATTCAGAGGGAGAAGCAAGAGAGAAGTAAGTAGCCAAGTCAAAGTAGGATTTCTGAGGAGAAGCCTGAGCACTGAGCTTCTCTGGAGATTCTCAGACAATGAACAGAACTAAACCCCGTTTACCAGCATACGTTTAGTGAGTGATTGCTGTATGCTCTCTTAGAATTCCCCTTCCTGTATGTGGGGGTGGGACATGGTCTCCAGGGAATTCACGTGCAGTCTCATCTGCCTTGCTTCTCCAGCAGCCTGTTTGCCCAGGCTGTCCTAGCTCCAGGATAGTAGACATTGCGCCTTGGAATTCCCAAACTTCTGACAACGCCCTTTGCAACAATCCCTCCTTTTTATTATTCTAATAACATCTTCTGAGAAGATGGGTGCAAAGGCCCAGCCCGATTCTTTCCTGCCTCCTCTTGCCCACAGTGTTGACACCCACAGGCTGAAATGGGGAGGATACGTACAGGAGCTAAGGCCAGGGACTGCCGGCCTCCCTCCCTACAAACTATGTATAATGAAACTCGAGCAGTTTAACAGACTGCGGAGAAAGATCCCTGAATAAGCAGTTTCCGAGCGCCACGATTACGATCGAGAGGAAGAGGAAACGTCATTCTTTACGACTCTAGGATGGCTCCCGGAGTCACAGGCAGCGAGTATGCAGCTGGCCTTAGGATTTCCGGTGGTCACAAAGATAACTCCTGCCTGGAGGCCGGGGCTCAGAGTGGAAGTGCTGCTTCCGCTGGTTGCGCAGAAAGCAAGAAACCCCATGAATGAAGTGTGACCGAGGAAATAAGGGTTTAATGACGTAGTATGTAAAGCTGGTGGATTGTGCGGGGAGGAAGTATAATTTATAAGAGCTGAAACTTTTATCCCCATAAAGGGCCAGACTGAGCCTGCCATAAATCTGAATTCCTCTGAAATAGCTATGGTTATATTGATAACACGTTAAAAGATAGATGTATCTTTTCTTCTTTCTCCACTAATCCTAGCAGGACGGTACTGAGTAGTTAACAGGACTTTTTTCCTGAATGTATGTAATGAAGTTCATAGGCACCTGCATTTTGTTTCAGTTTTGTTTCTTGGGATATCCATTTTTATTTTAGAAAAGAAGTCTTTCATTGAAAACATTGAGGGGAGCTTAAAATCATTCAGAAAAATGAAGGTTGCTTGTCATGTTATTGGCTGAGTTTTAAAAATTACATTTTCTACAGATTCTTTTGTATAATTTGATGATTTTCTTAAATTCCCACTCATTTGACGGTTGGATGAAACCTGAGGTACCCTAATTCTCCTTTGGGATTTTTTTTAAATGTCTCAAGTATGCTGTCAGGTTTATCAATTGAGTTTTTCAAGAATATAAACTATTATGAAATATTTTTAAATTATCTGGTATAGGATGTAAACTTGAGTTTATTTTTTGTTTAATCTACTGTGTTGTCTTTTTTTTTCTTTTAATTTAATCCAGAAATAGACAAAAAGAAATATTACAAGTTCAGCAAAGAGAAGACATTAAAGTGGCTGGAAAAAAAGGTATAGTACCTCTCCAGGGCCTTGGGGCAGAGAAAAATTTAATGCTTCTTTTAAAAAATCTTTAGAGAAGGTGGTTAGTCTGAATCCAAAGACCATCTTGTATATCCAGCTAAAAAAGGAAAACTATATAAAGATATCCACATATGAGAAGTAATCTTTAACTTTTCATCCTCCCTAACTTATGTATCTCTGGAGGTAGCTTGATGTTTTCCTTTGACTGCATCCCCATTTCTCTGTGATCCTCGCCACTGAATGCAAGAAGTTCTTGCTGTTTGTTGGTATAGATTTGAGACTTCCAAGCCAGACAGTACCAGGCCAGACATGCATTTGCTGCTGTCAGTCCTGCAGTAAGCGGTTGATATTATTCGCACGTGGCTGGGCAGAGGACTGAGGCAGACGGGACTCAGGCTTAGAGGGCGTGAGTCCCCCGCTCAGTGTCTGGATGCCAAAGCGGGGTCATCTTCCAGGCAAACCCTGTGTCTTGGCAATCCTAAGAGTTACACCTAATGTAAGGTCTAGGGCAGTGTTTTTCAAATCATTTAGTAAGTCAGAACCAGTATTTCTCTTCAAATGGAATGGCGTGGGATGGGACGGGATAGAAAATTAAAATACAACACAGTGTAAGGTCAAGTGTTAATTATGGCTCAGTGAAACATATATTTATATATGTGTTTGAGTATCAGATTGCTATGTATTTCTTACTGTGGGCTGTGGTAAAAACAAAACAAAACAAAAAACCTTGAAAGCCACTGGTCTGAGGATATTGTACTTCTGTATTAAGAATCTCACCAGGCCGGATCTATTGATGACAAAGTTTTTGCAACTTCAGTGGGTGCCAGTAGTTATAGTCTGATTCCAACGATTCTCTTCTGTCTTGTTGGTTTGTTCTATCATGTTACGGAGCACACTGGGAGCCTGGGAACGTGGAAACGAATCTTGTAGAATGAATCGGGCTCCTACGGTACAAAGTAGTGAAAAGATTTTAAAAGTGCCCCTGCTTCACTTTTCCCGTGCATTTGTTGCAGTATTGTCATTGGTAGTAGCATTCTGTGTGGGTGGAGAAGAGGGTAAGTGCTGAGCAGAATTTTGGCGTTCAGGTTTTGCTCTTAGCAAATGATAATGACGTGAATAGCAAAGTGAAGTTTACATTTATTGACTGTATTTCCTTTCTTAAATTCCTAGGATGTGGGAAATTTGTATTATTTATTTTCTTTAGAAAATTATTTCATATAAACTTTGTGCCAGGTTGTGTTCTAAGGGCTTTACGTATGTTAACTAACTTAATCCTCACAACAGTCCTGTAAGGTAGGTATTATTTTTATCCCCATTTCACAGATAGACACAGAGAGGTTAAGTAACTAGCCCATGGTCACAGAGAAAACCCATGCAGCTTGACTCCAGAGTCAGTGCTCTCGATCACCACAATATGCTGCTTCTTATGTGTAGGCCTTAGGAAGTCCATGTATTGAGATCCTCCTGAAATGCTGTTGCTGCTGCTCAAGCTTTCTCCAAATGTGCAGCCATCTCTCACCTTCTAATACCTGGCAGAGAGATTTCTAGGTTCGCAGACACTTCTCCCTGGATCTTACATAGATTGAGGACCATCTGGAAAGTCAGGGATTTCTAAAGGTAGTTGAAAATACCCTGATATGACACTTCTGGTTACTTCATAGGTTAATCAGACTGTGGCAGCATTAAAAACCAATAATGTAAATGTTGGTGCCCGAGTACAGTCAACTGCATTTTTCTCCGGTGACCAAGATTCCAGTGGCAAGGAAGGTAAGGAAATCGTTTCATTAGAAATGATTTTTATCTGGAGGAAGTTGCTTATGTATAAATGCCCGTCTTATGATTTTAAAATCTTACTGTCTCAGAAGCTTCCCGTTCTTGCCAGTGTGTCCTCGTGGATCTTGTGGCAGATGTACATTTTGTTTCAAAACCAAGTAATATTTCTGATGTAGATCACTTGTCTGTGATTGACACTTAAATCATTCATTTAGCAAATATTGATTTTGCTCTAATAGTAAAAATAACTCTAACAACTCTATCACGTGTTGAAGGTGTGTTATGTGTCAGACCTTTTACTGAGTTGCCAGTGTACACATGTCGTCTCATCTGACCTTCCCCCTGAGTCTCATTTTACAGTGAGAGCCTGGGGCTGTGTCCAAAGTCACCGAGCTGGGACACGGTAAAGCTGAGCTCGTACCGGAGCTGGTGTCATTCTCGGGTCCACACTCCTGACCTTTCTGTTGTACTGTTCGCGGGCACATGACTTCCAGTGAGCTGCATCTGTCGGCATCTTACTCTCAGGAAGCATATGTCTTACTATAGGTCTCAATATTTTGATTTTAGATGAAACTTGATTCACTTGGCAATTTTTTTCTTTTAGGTTGTTATGGTACATTCTTTAGCTTTTTCTAGTGTAGTGTCCTCTTCTTTTTATCTGTATAGTTGAATAAAAAAGGTATATAATGCAATTAACACTCTCAAATGGTGGGACAGAAATTTTTTTGACTAATCCCCATTTCAGGTGTACAACTCTGAAACATCTGAGTTTTTTCATTAAAAAAATAAAAACTAAGAACTGTTGCCTGTTTGTGATTGATGGTAATTCAGGCAGTCTCTGATTTCCAGAAATTGACCTTAAAATACCTCACACATACAGACAATAGCAGGCTCCCGCCATTCTGGGAGTGGTGGATGGCGCCCTTGCCGTCCTGAGTTTACCAGCTGCCAGTGTCTTTGACTGGCTTGAACAAAAGGAGAGAAGGGATGGAGTCAGATGGATGGATGGATGGATAAAACCATAGATTTCTGTTAAAGTAGGAGAAGGGATGTTAGAGATTATTTAGACAGATCTTCTCATTTTAGAAATGAAAAACCATAGTCTCAGAGAAGTAGGTGACTTATCCAAGGTCACTCATCCTAGCTGGTAGGCCAGGTCTTCTGCTCTGGGACCAGTGTCCTTACCAGTCTCTAAATATGAGAGTCTAGGCTTAGCTGTATTGCCATTTAGGGTCCCAGCCATAAAGTAAGCTTAACACTCTTTACATTATTTCCTTTTTTTAGATCTTTAACTTGGTTATGCTACCAGAAGAAGCTAACAGATGATATGTTGGCTTTCTTAAAATAGTTTTCTTTGTCTATTCATGACTCATTGCGTAATTACTAACTCAGAACCAGGAGCACATTTTAAGAAGGGTCCAGTGGTAACTTTCAGTTCTGTGTTGGCAGTGAAAATCTTTCACTGAAGACTTGGTGAGTTTGGGTGGCTCAGGCAGCAGTCTCTTTCTCAGTAATCCTGAGGCAAATTGCTATCTTAGCTGGAAGGCAGAAGAGAAAGGAAAGAAAGACGCAGATGAATATCCCAGCAACAAACCTGCGATATTGCTTTGGGTAGTTTATATCCCCATGTGGTTATCCCGTCTTATGATTAACTTTGATCATCCCCTAGTATTCTACATAAAGTACTGAGTTAAAGAGGGCTTTGAAACAGGTTTTATTGTCTTATATAACTGTATTTAATTGATGCCACAGCTTCATTTGAGTACCGAGGATCCAGATGCTTTAGAATTAATGGTTATACATTCTGGGAGTTTAGTTTTTTTTTACTTTTTTTAAGGCATTTTATTAGCTTGGGAATATATGTAATGTTCAGGACTCTTATAAAGCAAGTACTTAATAGAGACATATGACATATTGTTTCTCTTAAATAAGCATATTCATTACTATCCAATTATTAGATTGATTCTATATTGAAACAGACCCAGAAAAGATTAGTCTTTTAAAAAGACGCAAATATTTCACATTGTTAAGCTGATTTTTGAATTTCATTTGTATTCAAGGGCTTCAACTCAGAAAACAACTAACTGTCATTTAGTGAGCATCTACCTTGTTGTATTTGTATTATCTCCTATCTTTGATATCATCCTGTATCATATCCATCATATCACCCACTACCCTGATAGATAGATATTAGCATCCCCATTTTACAAAAGAGGAAACAGGCTAAGAGCTTAAGTGACTCTCTAAGGCCAGATAGAGCCAGAATTTGAACTCTGGTTAATTTGACTGTAAAACTACCATAATTATTACTATTTTTTTCTTTCATTTTACATTTTATTTCTTTCAGAGGATTATATTCGTTATGCCCACGGTCTGATATCTGATTACATCTCTAAAGAATTAAGTGATGACTTATCTAAATATTTAAAGTAAGTATTGCTCATCTTTAGGCATAATTAAGAAGTACGTTTGTGCTACTTGGTTTCCCAGCAATAGGGTTTCTTTATGGCTTATCACATCACTGTTTCTGGTAAGAGATTATTCTTGAGTTATGTCATAGACTCCATGGTTTGGAGATGATTTTTAATGGACGTTGATTACAGCAAATTGATTTAGTTGATACTCACAGCAGGAACTCATATGAATGTTAGAATTAGAATTATGGGTTGGTATGATTTTAGAGGGTAAGCTGTGTTAAAATTTTATCCCCAATTAGACTTAATTAATTTGATTCTTTGTGATCATTCTAAGAGAAATTAAGGTAGAAGGAAAGAGTAGCTGGCATGTAGCATATTTTTGAAAGTTACATTTAAAGGTTTTTTACCATTTTCACTGTCATTAGATGTTCTCCAAGTACCTTTATTGTGCCCAGCACTTAGAACTCAAAGAAGGCTGAGACGCAGTCAGTCTCTGAGGGCGGAAGAGGGTTTACAAATGACTTCATTTGTGTTCCTTCCTTCATGAAGATCTTTAATATAATATAAAGACTTTACCTTAGGCTGAAAAAAAGTGTGTTTATTTTCTAGATTTTAGCACCTGTTGTTAAGATTTTATGTGCGTGATGATCTAATAGCTTTTCTTGATCTTATAAATCCTTTTTCTCCTCTAATCCATAAAAATAAAATGACTCTAATAGATAGAGTTGCCGTTTTTAGCAAATTGCATAGGTCCTACTTTAAAAAACAATTAGTGGAAACGGTTTTCTATAGTAGGTAAAGTGTGTTGAAAACCTGCTTTAAGTTGATGATCATACCCTTCTGTTTAATGGTTCCCTGGCTTTCTTAATAGCTGCTTGTCTTGTTAGAGATCTTATTTCTTTATACGCCATTATTTTTTTAGATTCTTTTCTTTCCACTGAAATTTTTAGGTTTTGGTTAAAGATTTGGGGATGTCAATTAAACTTCTCTTTAATGGAAGAAAAGGTAACGTTTGTGTTGCTTTTTGTCAACAGTTAAAATAATTTTCACTTGTAAATATATTATAGATTTGTCATTTATGAAGAAAAAAATACAACACCAAAATGCAAATTTATAGGGAATAAAGAAAAGCAATTCCATTTCAACAAATGAGTTCTAACTTTATATTTTAGTTCAGAGAATTCCGATACAAGGAATTAAGTAGAGAAATGAAGATTTATTCATTTGGAGAGATTTCATTCTTTACACTGAGGTGACCGTATTAGTAAGATGTGACGCTGTCAGATGAAAGCAGGACTTAGCAAGTCTTAAGTTGGCTCAGTCTTTCTGTTTGCTTGTCTATGAAAAAGCATGACTATGATTCTTATTTTTTGCTTCCTTAGGCTTCCAGAACCTTCAGCTTCATTGCCAAAACCTCCATCAAAGGTAAAAAGCTGTGACTAAGATATCTTTGGGGCACTTGGAAAAATATTACACTTTTACCACATAGTCTAGTTTGTTCTAGTCTATTTTAAATGGTACTAAGGCCACCTTGCACAGAGTGGTGTTATGTGGAATAAGGATCGTCTGGGCTCTCCATCAATATTTTTTCATTTTTGTAGATTTTACCTGAATGATAATAAAGTGCTGTGAAAAACAAATAGCCAGATACCTATGTGAGAACATTATACATACGTAATTAAAATTAAATCTTATTGAGTTAACCAGATGCTGTATTAACTTTATTAATCAGCAGGAATGCTCTATGTATAGAACTCATTTTGCCAAATCTAGGCTGTGACTGGCACAAAAATTCAGAGCATGATTTTTGTAACAAAGACTCCTTTGAGCAAGATGACCACACTTTTTTTTTTTCTGTGCTTGAAATGATCGACACCATTTGTGTGCAGTTTTTATCTGTTGGGGAAAGCCTCTTCCTCTCGCAGATGTTCTCAGACTGCCACCCACGGCTGCTCTGCCCCATGGGCTGCTACTTGTGTTTGTCTCCCATATCCAGAGAGCAGAGAAGCCACACCTGGGATGGCACATGTAGCAGCCCTCGGTCCAGGCCTGACCTCAGACAAGTGCGCGCTGCTCAGAGACAGGGAAATAAACACACGCACCAGCTTGTCAGCAAGGTCATTCTCCAGCTGGCAAAATGATGGATGCCTTAAGAGTGTAAAGTGGACACGTCATGGATGTTAAACAACCTGCCTTTTCCTCTGCCTTCAAGGTGGCCAGCATGCTCAGGATTTTTTTGTATCAGTCCAGTTCGGAGGTGGTGGTAGCTCCAAAAACATGCTTTACTTTGACTTTTAGAAAAAGATGGAAAATCTAAACTGCCTCCGTGTTCAGTGTGGGCCATCTGCAGCAGATTGCCAAAGGAGGTTCATCTTTGCTCTCTGGAGGAGCAGTGCGGGGCAGAAGGCAGCAGCTGTGAGATCTGGGGCCGTCTCAGTCAGACCTGTGCTTTGTCCAGTGCAGTAGTTAATCTTTGACAGAAGCGCTCGGGGCTGTAGACATCATCATCTTGCTGTAACTAAGAGGATAGGCGCATTTGTTTCTTATTTCTCTCCCTCCAAAAACTAAGCATATGTCTTTCTCCCAAATATCTGTCTTCTTTAATAACTTAGAGATCATTCATGAATGGATCTAAACCTATTCTTGAAGGTTCTAGTTTTTGATTCCGTAAGGGGTAATGCGTTTCATAAGTTTATTCTTCTCTGACCTACTTTTCTGTTTTTACTTTTTAATTTCTAAAACTTGAGTCGTTTGGGATTTCATCATTTATGATTTAGATCAGGAGTCAGCAAACGTTTTCTGTGAAGGCCAGATAGTAAACATTTTAGGCCTAATGATGCAGATGGTCTCTGTCACAGCTACTCAACTCTGCTGCTGTGTCGCAAAGACAGCCGCAGACAATTCATAACCGAATCAGCACGGCGGGTTCCAGTAAAACTTCATTTATAAAGCAGACGGCCGGCTGGACGTGGCCTGTGAGCTGTGGTTTGCCAAGCCGCGATTTAGATCTCGGCAGCTTGCTTCCCCTGAATCTCAGCCTCATCTCCTGGCTTATTTTAGTGGCTTTTCGAGGTCCTCTACTCTGTTGTGTGTCTGGGACTCTGGTGCACACATTGCAAGCTGCACTGGGTGATGTTCCGTGGTTTAAACAAGCCCAGGATGATGTCTTCTGTCCATCTCCAGGATTTGATTGATTTTTACAGTAATGTAGTTGATTATTTTCAGGAAATATGTTCCAGCGGCTGTTAGGTATCTTTGTATCTGGGTTTAATCAATAGCCTGGAGCCTGTCATCCTTTACATGTTTTGCATTATTTTCTTACTATCATGTTTTCCTATGTTGAAGCTCAGCTTCCAGTCCTCACGCTCTTGAGCCTTTTGAATTTATCACTGTCGGCTAGCAGAGCCGAATGCAATCAGTGGAGTTGGAGATGCTCTTAAGTGCCTTCTTGCAAATCATTTGTGAGAATGATGAGACCAGTCCTAGAGTTAATTCTTTTGGTATTTTGCTGTTTGCTCTTCTTGTTCCAGAACTGTACCCATTGAATCACACCCTTTGTTACTGTCTTTCAGAGCCACGTTTCTATTTCTTCTGAAACATCCCCCCAAATCCATAGTTATTTGGTCTTTTAAATAACAAAAATTTAAGTCAATGTAACAATCATGTTTTTTCAAACATATTCAACAATGTGCTGGGAATAACATAAAAACTAGTTATGTGCAGAGGCTAGCACAATCATTTTTCTTTTTTATAAGCACTTATAACTGGAGTCTTGTTTGATAGTGAGCCACTGAAACACTTGAACAAGTCAGCATTTTATTAAATGTTTTATATTTATAAGGAAGTACCTTTCATCTTAAGCTCTTGCCGTGAACATTTTTTATTTGATGTGTCACTGAAAAGTGACAGTGTCTAAGTGTTTATCATAACGTCGGTATTAGGAACATTTTACCACAGAGAAGGAGAGCAAACATTCTCATAACTTTAAGCTTTTGCGATTTGAAACTACTACAGCCTTCGTCATTATTACCTGTGAGTTCTGCTCTTGAAGATACTTTTCTAGTAAAAATATCCATCATCTAAACACCATTTACTGTCTTAATTTGAAGTAGAAACATGTATTCTTCACAAAGTCGCTTGTATCCATACATTCACTTTGCTGATAGGTGGTTCGTACGTGATACGCTAGTCTTTTTCTTTTGAGGATTCCTTTGCTGAGGTCACTGTGTGGCCAAGAGAAGGTTTGGCCACGTTATGTGATACACTCCCAGGATGCCCCCCTGTCTTCTAAGTGAAGAATTTCAAGGCATGCTTTATCCTCTTGTGTTACCCATGTGCTGTGGCGTCTTTAGCACCAACGCTACCAGTTCTTTGTTTAGCAAAAGCTGGAGCGTGAGAGTGAGGCTAGGAACAAAGCTGTGTTTCCTAGGGTAGCTCCGTGTGAGTCTTGTCAGCATGGTCTCTCCACAAAGACCTTGAAGATCTGGAAAGATCCAAGTGTGATCACCATGCAATCAGTTGTCTGTGTTAAACATCAAGACTTATCTGCCCCGCTGTGTGTCTTTTACATAATAAGTGTGTCACCAGTCCTTCTATAGTGTGAACATTAAGGCCACAGCCTAGATCTTGATAAGATTCTCACATTCATTGGTGCAAAAGGTTCACGTGAAAGGTGAAAACATAGAGTAGAGGTTGACTTAGTTGCATTGGGCCTAATGGAAAGAACACTTGCACAAAAATTGAGCTCTCACCCCAAGTCCTGTACCAGGTGGACTTAAACTGTCCATTTAACCTCTTCTGTGCTTCCTTCTCCTGCTGGCTTCTTGCTTTGCAAGGCTGTTCTTGTGTAGATAAAATGAGGTAATTTAATTGAAAGGAGATAAGAACTGAAGCTATACAAAGATGGTCGTAATAGAATAATGCTGTCCCTGTATTCCCAAATGGACATTACATCAGCCCAGGAGGTGAACAAAGAGGGGGTTCTGGCTGGACACCTGGTCCTTAAAGGAGATTCTTGTCTCTGATTTCTGTGCCTGCATTCACCCCTTAGACTGTGCTGGAGGTCAGCAGTCACCTAGATGCCCCTCGTCCCTGGTACATATGAAGTATGTGGTCAGGACTGCTAGACCGCCTAAGGGGCTGGGTCGTGGACTTGCCTAATCATATCCACATCACCAGGGCCGCTTCTTGGAAGGGATGTGTAGCTTAGTTCCCTAGATAATTGGCAAAATGTGAAGGAGCTTGTAAAAAGTAAGCCCTTTGCATGATCTGCTGCTCCATTTGGCCACAATGTGGGTCCAAATTGTACATGTTGGTTTTTTTTAAATGAATTGATGTGTCAAGGTGACATTTGATACCACTCCACTGCTCTAACATTGCAGAAAGTAAAGTTGTCAGATGAGCCTGTAGAAGCGAAAGAAGATTACACTAAGTTTAACTCTAAAGACTTGAAGACTGAAAAGGTATGTGTGTCCAGGTCGTGCCGGCATGCTCTTGGATTCAGTGGGTGCTGGGTGCTGCATGAGGATGTCCAGGAGTGATTGCGTGCTTGATTGTGATTTTATAACTTTAACCATGAAGAATTATTGACTCACATTTCTGTCTTAATAATTAATTCAAAATTGTGAATAACAACAAAATATCAAACAGGGAAGACATTTTATGAATCAAAGGAAGGCAATATACTTAGCAAGAGTGTGCCTAGACTTTGCTATGTATTCACAGTGATAGGGTGGGGCAGAAGGAGGGAGCCTCTGCAGGTAATTGTTTGTCAACTCTACAGCCCAGAAGCTTCCCAGAAATTATGATGATAACAAAAATTGTTAATAACCCCACCATTCACAATCACCCTGGCAAGTATTTTCATAACATTTCTTACTAAGTTTTATCTTATACATGCATTATAAATACATATGTAGCTTTTAAAAGTGGCATTGTAATATATATATAGTTTTTGTTCTGCCCTTTTTATTTAGCACTACATTATGAAAATGTTCATGTCATTAAGCATTCTTTGAAAAATTATTAATGGTTTCATAATATTCATCGGGAGTGTTATTCCATATGGAATATAATTTATTTAATCATTCCCCTCATTTTTGAGCACATAGGTTACTTCGGCTTTTTTTATTTTTTGTTTTAATGAAGTAATAAACACTCATTTATAGTCTGCATCTCTGATTATTTCATTAGAACTTATAATTTAGAACTAAGGGTAAGGGCTTAGAAAACATGAGCCCTTTCCATGATTATTGAGAGAGAGATATAGCTAAAATGCTTTCCAAAGATGGAGCAGAAGCCTGTTCTCCCAGCCATTATTGCTAATGAGTATTTGTGTGGCATTCCTGACAACATTGAATATTATTTTTATTCTTGAAAATTTTTGCCTGTCTATTTAGGCTACATTTCTTTAACTAGAAAGGTTA